AATTGTCATGTGCTATTGACCCCATCGGCTCGCGGCTCCATGTTCGGCTATGTTCGGCTTCAGATCTTTAGCCAAGCCGATTCTAGAGCCGATACTTTATTAGTAGACCCTTAGCCAAGCCGATAATCGGCTCGGCTTAGCCGATCGGCTTGCGGCTTAGCCTTAGCCGTTCGCATCACTAATTATTACAAATCCTCTTTATACATTTTTCCATTATCTGGTCTACGTCATTCTCTTCTGATAACCCATAGAACATATGTGCCATTTTTAAAATTTCCGCGTCTTCCAGATCCAATGATATCCGATTTCTTATATTTTGTAAATTGGTAATACATTCGAGTAATACGGTGTTTTTCTTATGTTTTGAATCAAGCAGATTTTCATAATAAGCTTTGTAAAAATTTAGTCTCTTTTTACTAAATTCCGTTACAATACTATATGCTGCTATTTCATCAACATACTTTTTACTCTGTTTTTTTTACATTCTTCGTAAAGAAACTTATAAGTGTCTACTAGATTTTTATTTAAGTCTTCTTCACCATAGTTATAATATTTCAGGTAATAGTACGCATTCAATATCGACATGTCTTCGCTTATAGAATCTTTATATTTACAGTCTATATGGCTACATAGACTAATAAAAACATCTCTTTTAAAGGTATAATTATGGTTCTTTTCTTTTGTGATTTCATCAATCCTTTTAAAAAAATCTTCATTTACAATCTCTTTACTCATAAATAATAATTTGAAAAAGAGAAAAATAAACCAAAATGTAGTGATGAAGGAGTTATGGACCATGTACAAATCATGAGGAAATCTAAAAGAGAATATGATATACCTACCCTGCACGAATCGATACATCGTGATAGTGACAATTAATGAATTATTCTTTGTTACAATGATTATTGGCGTAAATATTTATATTATTGTGGTATCTGGTGATGGATGTTATTGAGATAATCAAAATTGTGTATCTTGTTGTATAACATTGTTGAGGAGTGATTTTTTTTTATATAAGTAACGAGCAAATAAACCAGAGAAAGAAATTAAAAAAAAAATGAATCAAGAATTAAATAGTGATCAAATAGACATAATTTTACAAAAAATTG